GGTTTAGCACTGGGCAGGAGTTAGCACTGCTTTATTACTGTTCTTGTAGAATGACACCTCTAAGTTATGTAAAGGTGAGGTGAGTTGCAGGTCATTCTGGGATTAGGGTGTAACAAGAACCTTTTAGAACTCTCCTAAGCTGCTGTAGCCTGAGATCTTGGCACACAAAGTAGTGAGAATGGGGATCAATTTATACATGAGACCCTGGGGCCAGTGGGGGTGGGGAAGGGGAAGGTCAGTACCCTAACCCTTGACCTCATGATTTAGCAGTAAGACCTGGAGGTGGACTGGAGCTGCATGCCCAAGGCTGAAGGACAGCCCCTGAGATAAATTCCACTCCAAGAATGAAGTCTGGGACCCAGAATCTGCATTCTTCCATCCACCCACCCATTCATCCATCTATCCAACAAATAGTAGGGCAAGTCAATTAGGGGCCTGGCAGGGCCATTTTTTGACCCTTGTTGGCCTTAAGTCCCTCAAACTTTTGGTGCCCCAATCTTTTTTTTTTTTTTTTTATTCCTTTTTGTCTTTTTTACTGACCAGTAACGGGATCGCAACCCTCGGTGTCATGCCCGTACCGGGGACCGGCAATGGGATCGCAACCTTCGGTGTCGTGCCCGCACCACGCTCAGCCAGTGAGCGGGAACCGGTCTCCACATGGGATCCGAACCCTCGGCGGGAGCACCGCTGCACTCCCAAGCGGCACACTCTCTAGTGCACCACCGGGCCGGCCCAGGTGCCCCAATCTTATCACACCTGACCAAATGCAAATATGTTGCTACAATCCTTTTTTGCAATAAATTTATAGTTTTGCTTCTCAAATTATCTGACTTCATGTTAACTCATTTAAATTATGATTTGCTGGGCTGGCCTGTGGCTCACTCGGTAGAGTGTGGTGCTGATAACACCAAGGCCATGGGTTCGGATCCCATATAGGGATGGCCGGTTCGCTCACTGGCTGAGCGTGGTGCTGACAACACCAGGTCGAGGGTTAAGATCCCCTTACCGGTCATCTTTAAAAAAAAAAAAAAAAATTATGATTTGCTGTGATTTTTAAGCAATCATCCTGTATCTGTTACCAGTCACGGGTCTGGCTGCTCATCTCTCTGGTAAACCTGAAAGAGAAAGGCCAGACTAAAGGCATCTGAAAGACTCATATTTACTGGGGGGTTTTCAAAGAGGGGGTTGAGGGAATGGAGCATAGAAAATGAAAAGCAGGGAGGAGGTGGATGTGAGTCATGGGGGCTCTGTGCAAGGTCTCACCAAGGCTTACTCAGTCTGGTTTCTGTTCCCATCCTTGCTGTTATCTCATGGTCCTGCTGGAGGGGTGGAATCAGTATAGCTTTGCTGATGTTTTCTTTGGTTTCCAGGGTCCGGATAGTATGTGCAAGTCTGCAGCTCTAGGCTGGCTGGAAAACAACTGTACATTTATGTAAATAATATTGTAGGGAAAAGACAGGAAAATGGTCAGGGCCCCTCAGATGTTCAGAATCTTGCTTAGCATTTGATGTAAATATGCACGTGCGCCCAGGTGTTCCTTGGTTATTGTCTAATGTAATTGTGCACATGCACCCAGGTGTACTGGGTTATGAACTTAAGTATAAAGGACTGAGTGGCTCTGATCCACAGTGGGGTCCCCCTGCGGGTGGGGGGCACTACTGCAAGCTGTTGCTGCCAGGGCCTCTGGGAGGCCACCGCTGCTGCTGCTGTGGACTGAGCTCGTGCCGTCTGCCAACGAATCCAGGATCTTTCCCAATTACCTAGTGCGGACCTGCAGATGAGGGGTCTATGACCCAGCCTGGCATGTGAGGGGTCTGGTGACCCAGTCTGTACAATGGGTTTGAAGGGTCTGAGCTCTAGTCCTGACAATACAAAGGAAACTTATTATAACTAAAATAATGAAACGTTTTGCCTTTAGTGTAGCTATTGCTGTAACCCAACAGTTGGCGTAGTCTTAGCAATACTATTGCTGTAGCTTTACAGTCGTCTTGCTCCATAACCAAGTAGTATATTGCTGGGTTAGGGCTCACAGACCCTTCAAACCTGTTGTGCAGACTGGGTCACAGACCCCTCATATGCCAGGCTGGGTCACCAGACCCCTCACATGCAGGTCCATGCTACATAATTGGGAAAGATCCTGGGAGCCATTGGCCGACAACACGAGCTCAGTCCTCAGCTTCCTCAGCAAAGGCAGCAGATTTGGTACTAGTGGCTGTTTCCATGTGGCCCCCCAGAGGCATCCCACGGGGCGGGGGACAGTGGATCAGAACTGCTTGTCCTTTATACTTAAGTCTGGTAACTCAGGACACCTGGGTGTGAGTCAGACAACCCAGGAACACCTGGGTGCACATGCGCAATTGCATTAGATGATAATCAAGGAACACCTGGGCACACGTGCATATTTACATCAAATGCTCAGCAAGACTCTGAACTGCTGAGAGACCCTGACCATTTACCTTAACTTTCCCCACACCAAGGTTCAAAATATCAATACCATAAGAAAAGAAGGAACTCAGAGAAATGCATGCCACGAAAAAAAACTGTATTCTTTTATTTTATTTATTTATTTATTTTTATTTTTTTTGGTCTTTTTTCTGTGTCCGGCAACGGATCGCAACCCTCAGTGTCGCCCCCGTACCGGACCGGGGACTGGCAACGGGATTGCAAACCTCGGCATTGCTCCCGCGCCTTGCTCAGCCAGTGAGCGGGAACCGGTCTGTATGTGGGATCCGAACCCTCGGGCGGGAGCGCCACCGCGCTTCCCAAGCGGCGCACTTATCCAGTGCGCCACCGGGCTGGCCCCAAAACTGTATTCTTTTAAAGTCTTTTAGAGCCCATGCAGTTTTAGGTCCCAACATGGCTTCAGTCCTGCTCATTCCAGTATATCCTCCAGATGGTCTTGGGCTGAGAAATTCTAACCTACAAATCCTTCTAAGTTGTACCAAAATATTTGTGAACATTAAATTTAATAATAACATCAATAAAATGACTTTCTTCTAGAGGCATTTGATTAAATACATAGCATTTTCCTTTTTAAAAAAATTTGAGGTCAATAAAACTTCTTTTTTCCATTCTCCATTCATTTTTTCTATTCTCCAACATTTTCACAGCCTCAGAAAGCTCGGGGGCCTATGATACCTGGTGGAGAAAATGGTCTTAAGGGCAGGCAGTGTTCCCATAGTGGGGATAGAAACAGAGGAGAATAAGACAGTCAAGGTCCCCACTCTCAGAAGTTTACAGTCCAGTGGGAAATAAGCAACATGAGGAAACAAGCAAAATATGCTGAAAGGTATAAAGTGTTCTGAGGTAGGGAGAGGGGGCTCCTTTAGATGAGGTGGTCCTATAACATTAAGCCAAGACTGGAAGGCTAAGAAGGAACCTGACCTTTACAGAGCAGAAGAGATCTCTACAGGCAGAGGGAACAGCCAGCACAAAGGACCTGTGACAGGGAAGTGCTGAGCTTGTCAACAGAAAGGGTGTCACTTTGGCAGAGGCATAGTGAGGGGTGGTGAGCCAGGCATGAGATGAGTTCAAATGGGAAGGCATGAGCCAGATTGTGGGGAAAATATAGGAAAATGGTCAGGACTCCCTTGGATGTTTGGAATCTTGCTGAGCATTTGATGTAAATATGTAACTGTGCACATGTGCCCAGTTGTTCCTTGGGTGTTGTCTGTGGATGCACGTGGGCACCCAGGTGTCCTGGGTTATCAGACTTGAGTATAAAGGACAAATGGCTCTTATCCAGTGTCCTCTGCCCCTGGGATGTCCCCAGGGGGGCCATGGGGAGGCCACTAGTGGTTGCTGCCGGGGCCCCCAGGATGCCCCGAGAAGCCACTGCTGCTGGATCTGTAAGCTGTTGCTGCTGCTGAGGAAGCTGAGGACTGAGTTTGTGTCCTCTGCCAACGGATCTCAGGGTCTTTCCTAATTACCTAGCTTGTGGACCTGTATGTGAGGAATCTGGTGACCCAGCCAGACATGTGAAGCGTCTGGTGACCCTGCTTCTCATATGAGAGGTCTGTGACATAGTCTGTATATGAGGGGTGTGTGACCCAGTCTGTACAATGGGTTTGAAGGGTCTGTGAGCCCTAATTCAACAATACACAGATCACGCCCAGCCTTACATGCCATGGTGTGCAGTATGTATTTTCTTCTAAGTGCAGGGAGGGCCATGATATGTCATGGGTTGGGCTCCTGGGGAAGCAGACCCTGAGATGGAGATTAGCGGGCAGGAGGTCTGTTAGGGAGGGCTCTTCAGATCAATACCTGGAGGAGAGAAGGGAAGGAAGCAAGACAGGGCAGGGGAGAAGTTGAGCGGCCATGCAGTATTATGGACGCCTCCTCTGACCTTATAGGGAGTTCTGAAACCATGACCCTTCAGACTCATCACTAGATGCAGGTTCTTTAAAAAAAAAAAAATGGGGGAAGGGGGTGTGACTGTTCAGCTAAGGCGATCCCCCCAGGAGCTGACAGCACTCCCAGTAGGTGGACACCAAGTCCACTGCTCAAGGGGGGATCTGGTCTGCACATCACTGCTCACACCTGTTCCAGTTTACTTTTAAGGGGGCGCCTCTAAACTGCTGCATGGAGGGTACATTATTGGAGGCGGGAGTGGATCCACCTGGGCAAGCAGTGATGGTGGCTTGGCCATGAGCAGTGGCTGTGGGAATGGAAGGAAGTGGGCGGATTTGGGAACTATTGGGAGGTGGGATACAGAGCACTGGAAGAGGGTTAGAGATGGGCATGGAGAAAAGGAAGGAGCAAGGACACTTCAGGTCTACAACGGGGGGGATAGTGATGCCATATGCTGTGACGGGAGATTCCTGAAGTGGGGTGGGAAGATAATATGCAGTTTTGGCCATGTTTGAGATCCAGAGGTTGATGTCAAATAGGTGGTGTGAAGCGCACAGGCCAGATGTCTCTGTTTTAATTTTTGGCTGCATGTAGGGGATGTAGATTAAGGCCGATTTTCATCCAGTGATGCTGGACTCTTCTCGACCCAGGTTGTGCTTGGGAGGGCAGTGGCTGCACGGGAGGTGAAGGCGCGCCCAGAGCGAGCCCCTCAACTTCTTCCAGGGCTGCCGACACCCCGGGATGTGCGGGATCGAGCCTCAACAGCGCCACCGTGTGTCAATGCGAAGTCACGACAGCAGTGGGCCGCAGACCTACCAGTTGCTCTGATGGTGGGGAAAGGAGGTGGGGACGCAGCCACACCCTCAGACACCGGCTCCCTCCTCTCCTGCTCGTGCAGAGCAAATAAATCACTGCAGGTTTCGGAAAACTTAGAGGTGGTAGGGAGACGAGGAGCCTCACAAGAAAGATGTAGCTAGGCAATGCAGTTTGAAGAATTATTTAAGAAAAATAAAAGGGTGTTATTGTACTTGTGCCATAAAGGAAGCAGTATAATGTTGACAACTACCATTCAGTGAGAACACATGAGGGGTGGGCACTGTAGCTACACGATCCCGTGTAATCTACCCACACCCCTATAGGAAACTGAGGCTCAGAGAGGTGAGAAATGTGTCCCAGGTCACAACAGATGGTGGTGGACGTGGGAACCCAGATCAGCCTAGCAGTGGATCCCAGCTGTTTCAGACCCAACATGGCCTTTTAGCAATAAATATTTGACGATGCCCTCTTTACATCCCCAACATCTAGATTGTGCCTGATGTGTCGTATGCACATGGTCAATATTTGTTGAATGAACAAAATGAAATTAATAGATAATATCCTACCTAACTATATAATTTTAAAAATCAAGGAAAATGAAAGTAATTTATGCTAAAGAAATCTGCATTTCCACATGTACATGCTCAATCAGGATCACGCTAGAACACATAATGAAATGATCATTGTGAACTGAGACTGTTTCCAATACAGACTGATACAGGTGCGTTGACTTCAGAAACGTGATCTTCTGGGCCGGCCTGGTGGCGCACTGCTACAGTGCGCCGCTTGGGAGCGTGGTGGCGCTCCCGCCGAGGGTTCGGATCCCACATACAGACCGGCCGCTCACTGGCTGAGCGAGGTGTGGGAGCAACACCGAGGGTTGCGATCCCGTTGCCGGTCCTGGTCTGGTACGGGCGCGACACTGAGGGTTGCGATCCGTTGCCGGTCACGAAAAAAGACAAAAAAGGGAAAAAAAAGAAAGAAAAGAAAGAAACGTGATCTTCTGAAATGGTGAATAACCCTTCATAAAGATCTGAACTCATACAGGGAAAATTCTTCCTTTGATTTATACTTCAGTAGCATTCCTGGGAAATTCAGTACTGTATATACTAAAACTGTGCACATAATATTATATGTTTACGTGTATAACAAAGTTAGAGTTCTCAGCTCAGATAATGACAAACAGGTCTTCCACTTAAGTAAATACCCAGTGGGACATAAGAAAGTTGTGCAGGACATGGAACAATTCTCTATTATGGGGTTTGTGCCAAACATTGAAGGATGTCTAGCATCCCTGGCTCCATCTACTAAAGATCAGAAGAGCCCCAATCAATGTGATAACCAAAAATGCCTCCACGAATTTCCAAATCCAGATTTCCAGGGACAGTGGATCTCTCTTTAGGACCTCTGGTGTACGTCAAAGCACAGCCGACGAAGCTGTGCTTTATTGGCCACCTCTTCTTTGTGGGCGCTCTCGGAGAGCTCTCACATCCTTCCTTTAGGACTTCCTGTGAGAGCGGTTTTTTCCTAGAAAGTTAGAACTGATGTAATTAATGACATACATTTCTACCCTGTTCCTGTTTCTACAAAAAGCTCAAAGAGCTAAAGTAACTTGCTCATAGTCACAAAGCCAATTTGAAGTGGCAGAACCAGAATTAGAACCTGGGTCAGTCAGTCTGACTCTAAAACCTGTGATTTTTCCCACTTTTCTAATCCCTCCTTGCTGCCTCCCATCTCCTCCCAGAAAAAGACTTCTGTCATTCTGGGGAGCCAAGGCTTAGAAGTATCTGACTGCTGTGGATTGAATGTCCCCCTAAAACTCATTGAAGCCTGACCCTCACTGCAACAGTGCTGAGGATGGGAAATCCGATTATGGTGTCAAAAGGTGGGGCCTTTAAGAGGTGATTAGATTGTGAGGACTGTGCCCTTGTGAATGGACTGGCCCATTCATGGAGTAATGGCATGGTTCATGGCTTTAAGAGGAGGGCAAGTGAGGAGGTTAGCTCTCTTGCTCAGGCCATTCTCACCATGTGACACCCTGAATTGCTGTAGAGAGTAACCACCCAGAAGCACCCTCACTAGATGTGCCCCCCAGACTTTGGATTTCCCAGCCTCCAATACTGTAAGAAATAAATTTCCTTCCTTTATAAATTACACAGCTTGGGATATTCTGTTATAAGCAACAGAAACAGACTAATAGACTCACTTACTGAGTAAAATTCCTATAAGTTGTCTGCCGTTTCTGAAGGGCAGGAGGTACATGCAGAGGGGTCTGGAATGGATTCAGAGCATACAGTTGTTACCTGGAACTTGCATAAATCAGGTGAACACTTGCAGAAGTGAAAACCCTGCTGTTTGTCTTATCTTGTCCTAGAAAGGCCAATTACATCCGGCTGTGATTGAGCTGTCAGTTCGCCTCTTAGCTGTTTTCATTCATGAGCTGCTTTTATCTCAGTGTAAATGGTGCAGACTTTCTCAAATTCTAGTGGCAGAAGAGGGTGAAATCAACCCCTTACTTGGGACCTGGGGATGAGTCACAAGCAACTACCATTTTATTGAAATCTAAGGTCCTATAAGAAGGGCTGCAAATTTTGCACACCACCCCAAATATTTTGGGGATGTGTCCTGATAAAAAATAAATTAAGGGGCCAGCCCGTGGCTCACTCGGGAGAGTGTCATGCTAATAACACCAAGGCCATGGGTTCGGATCCCATATAGGGGTGGCCGGTTAGCTCACTGTGTGAGCGTGGTGCTGACAATACCAAGTCAAGGGTTAAGATCCTCTTACCAGACATCTTTTTAAAAAACAAAAATTAATTAATTAAAAGTAAATTTCAGACCATGTAAGAGTGTCATGCTCCACCAACAGAGCTAGCTGGCACTCCACCTTGTGTAAAAATTGATGTATAATGGCATACTTTTCAAACATAAGTGTTCATAAGATTCACTGGCATATCCCAAGTTCCTTACCCAGACCTGCCGAGGCAAAAGCCAGGACCATGCATTGTCAGCTACCCCTCTGTGACTGGGTGACTGATCTATTTAGTCCATTGAGTGTGCTTGGAGGAGCAGTGCTCTATTTATCCTCTGGCTTTCAATGACATGCCTTTTATACCCCAGGATGCCTGCAGAGGCCAGTTTGAGAGGCAGAATCTTTATGAATATTGGAACTAGATTCAAACTAGCTTCCATCATTTACCATTTTTGCTACTTGGGCAAGTTACTGAATCTCTTTTTGCTTTGGTTTCCTCCTCTGCATCATACCTATCTCATGGGTTGTATGGGGTTAAATGGGCTAGTACATGTACATGCCATGGACTCTGAGTGCCTAGACTGGAGTCAGTGCACATTAAGTGTTAGTTTTTATTATTGCTGCTGTTAAAATTTCCATGTGCTGGGTACTCTTCTGGGGAATTCCTGTGGCAGGCAGATGCTGAGGTGGCCCCTGTGACCCCTGCCTCCTGATATTCACACCCTTGGGTAATCCCCTCCCCTGGAGTGTGGGCAGGACCTGTAACTTGCTTCTAACCAATAGGAGACAGCAGAGGTAATCAATATATGTGATTATGTTATAAAAGATTATAATAGCCTGTCTTTCTCTTACTGGCTTTGAGGAAGCAAGTGGCAGTGTTGGGAAGGCCCATGTGTCAAGGACCTGAGGCCCTCAGTCTGGCAGCCCACAAGGAACTGAATGCTGCCAGCAGCACATGAGTTTGGAAGTGGATCTTTCCCCAGTTGAGCCTCAGATGAAACTGCAGCCCTGCAACACTATGAATGCTGCCTTGCAGAGGACTCAGTTAAGCCGTGCCTGGACTCCTGACCCATAGAAACTGATATAATCAATACTCATTGCTTTAAACCATTAATTTTGTGGTAATGTTTTACACAGGAATAGATAACAGATGACCCCTCACCTTCTCACCTCCTTGCTCCTGCAAGTCTGCCCTTTCTCTCCTGAATCATCAACACCTCCCTTTCTATTCCCATCAATCTCTCTACCCATAAACATGCTCTAGTGTCTCCATCTTAAAAACACTCTTTGGATGCCCCATACTCCTCCAGTTATCACTTCATTTCTCTACTCTCCTTCATGGCAAAACTTGAAATCCTTGTCCACATTTCTCCCATTCTCTCCTCAACCCATGCTCTTAATGAGGTCCCCAATGCCCTATGAGTTGCCCAATCCAAAGGTTACTTCTCTCTCTTCATCTTAATTGCCCTCCCAGTGGCATCTGGAAGAGCCAGCCACATCCTCTTTCTCAAAATACACTCCCTTCTTCTGCTTTCTTAACATCGCCCTCTCTGCGTCTTCCTCCTCCCACGACGTCCATTCCTTCCCCGTCTCCTCTGCTGCCTCCCTCTTTTCAGCTCAGCTTCTGAATGTTGGCATGCTCCCGAGCTTCAGTTTCTTCTTTTGTAATTGTACAATTTCTCTCTGGAAAAGTTGTGAGAACTGCCCGAGGTAATATATGTGTGGCTTAAAAAATACTTCTCCTCCCCACCCCATTAATTACAATTATGCTCTTCTGCATCACTCTGGCAAGAAGATGAGCTACCTTTTCCCCCAGACACTTGTCAGGTGGCTCCAGTATCCAGGAAACATGACTGTCTCCCACAAAGGCTAAGTACACTGCTAATGTGGATCTCTGGAAACCTGGATCTAAGAAAAGTCCTGCTGTTGCTGCCAGGGCTTTAGAAACCCCTGCTTTTTTTTTTTGTCTTTTTTCATGTCCGGCAACGGATCGCAACCCTCAGTGTCACGCCCGCACCGGCCCGGGACCGGCAACAGGATCGCAACCCTCGGGGTCGCTCCCGCACCTCGCTCAGCCAGTGAGTGGGAACCGGTCTGTATGTGGGATCCGAACCCTCGGCGGGAGCGCCGCCGCACTTCCCAAGCGGCGCACTATCGCAGTGCGCCACCGGGCCGGCCCTGGAAACCCTGCTTTTAATTCATTCAGCCTCAGATCTTTCAAGAGATGAAGTGTGTGTGAGTGTGGGTATGTGGCCTTCCACAGACACAGGTAGGTGTCCTGGGCCAATGACAGCAGGCATTTTCTGAGATTCTTCTGCCAGGACAGTAAGGACAATATGTACAGCCTTCATCCATCTAGAAAGCGAAGATATGCATTAAACAGCAGTTGGGTGACATCACACCTGCTCCAGGGCATGCCAAGGGAGTCATTCATTCATCCAACACATCTATTAAGCAGGTATTCAGTGTGTCGGGCACTGTGCTAGGTGCTGAGTAAAGAGCAGTGAGCAAGACAACAAGCCACAAAGTTCCTGTCCTGAGGAGCTCCTGGCCAAGTGGAGGACACCACCAGGGAACGGGAAAGTGCAGCTCAGTGTGAGAGGAATTTCGGGGGGGGGGCTAGGAAGCTAGGGATAAGAGGTAGTGGCACTGACCCCAGCCAGTGGCAAGTGGGTGGGTCAGGAATGCCTTCCCGAGGAAGTGACTTCCAAACTGAGAACTAAAAGGTGTCTGGGAGTCAGGCTGAGGGAAGCGCAAGTGTGAAGCTTCCACGGTGTGCACGAGCCTGGGCTTCTGAGGATGCGGATAGACGGAGGCTGGCGTGTTAAGTGCACAGAACCGTGTGAGGACCAAGGAGAAAACGGATGTCACTGGGCCTTCAAAGCTACCTTAAGGACCTGGGACTGTCTCCTGTAAGAGAGACAAGGGGAGCCCCAAAGTGCTTAAACCAGGGGAGAGCACAAGCAGGGAGAGATCAGTACCAACTGGAGTCCCTCAAGCCCTTCCCTCTCAGACCTCAGCGGGTGACCTGGCTCCAGCACTAATTTTGTTTTTCTTTCCTCTTTGCTGGTTTTTTTTTTTTTTTTTTTTTTTTGGCGCTGGCTGTACAGGGGTCAAACTCTGGACCTCGGTGTTATCAGTGCCACCTTCTAACCAACTGAGCTAACTGGCCAGCCCAGCACTAATTTCTGAATAGCTGGAAAGTCACTTCACCTCTCTAGATCTCTGCTGCTGTGAAGTCAGGTTTGGACTAAATAATCTTTAGCATCAGTTCTCCCACCTTCTGAGACCAGGCCAACTGCCCACCTGCTCCTGTGATTTCTCCAGTTTCCTGAAACATTCCCATCCCTGTTTCCTCTTTCCACGCTGGGAACACCTTGCAGGAAAACGTCTTTTTCTCAGTCTCTCCACTAGACCGTGAGCTCCGAGAATGCAGCACTGTGCCTAATGCGTCTGTACGTGCCTCCACGTGGCAGTCCTGGAGCACAGCGTGTGCATGCTTGGGGGCACAGTCCCAGCCCTGTGCCCTTCGCTTCAGTGGTTATGCTCGCATGACTGCGTTTGATCCTCACCACATCTTGCGACACTGCCAGCACGGGGAATATTACCTGCCATTTTGCTGTCGAGAACAGGGACGATCAAGCTGCGAACCCAAGCTCTGAAGCCAACTGTCTGGGTTCAAGTGCAGCTCTCCGTCTTACCAGATGTTTGACAAGCCTCTACCTCCTCACCTGTAAGGTAAGGACAGCACCTAATTCCCAGAACCGCTACGATGATTCAAGGGAGATGGCAGGCAATGCCTAACCTAGAACAGGGATGCAGAAAATGCCACTTACTAGCTTCACTCCAGGGTCAGACGCCGCTCCCCGCCCCTCACCCCAGCGCCCCACGTGCCTCGAGTAAATAAGCGAGCGCGCAGGCGCACCAGGCCCGCGCCCATTGGCCAGCGCCCCTGCGCCCGCAGCCGGAGGAGACGGGGTCCCGCCGGCCGCGGGCTCCTGTGCCTGGTCCGTTGTTCCGCGCGTCTGTCCGTGCGCGCGTCCGGGCCGCCGTCTTCGCCCTCGCCATGGCGCCCTGGCTGCGGCTGCTGCGGCTGCTGGGGCTGCTGGGGCTGCTCCCGGGC